TAATAAACGTTGTTATTGGAAATCTGTAAAAAAAAGTGTTATTGTTTATGATAAAAGAAAAAAATGTAATACCATTTAGGTAACTGTTTTCATACATATGTTATATATACACATTATATATAGTATAAACCTAACCTCTAATGAACCACGCCATCGAGTAATTCACTGTAATATAAATAGGTATGTGTTAAATTTGTAAATCGTATTAGATACAAAAATTAAAAACTAAAAAATCGAATATTTTCAAAGGCTGTATAATGAAAACTGAAAACAAATTTTAATTTTGTAGTACATTTACAAGCGGTTTGGCGCATTTTTTATCTACATTTATAGAAAAAAAGTCAAATGTGCATTCTATTTTTTTCTGTATGTAGATAAAAATTAATCGAAATAAGTATATAACTAATAGTTATATTTATATCATATATAGAAAATGCTATTATGGACATTAGACAAAATTTCAAGATTTTACGAGTTAAATACATAAAAAAAAAACAAAATCGATTTTATCAAGATCTGATTTTGCTTAAAAATTCCAATTCAATTGTTTTAAAAAATACTTAACATTATTTACTTTTGATCCCTCAAAGTACCAACTAGAACCAATTAGCTACCAGAAATCACTCTCGAAGTTGAAAACCTAAGAGGGGAGATTTTAAGTATGTTTTCTATTTTCAATTCATACATAATATTATAGAATAAATAATAGATTATTTTGATGTTATAGACTATTAATTGTCGATAAAACTAAAAGTTTAAACTTTATATAAAATGAACATTACGTCAAGAGACAATAATCCCGGGACCTTAATTTATAGTATATTTTTAAATAGTTATGCCCTCACATTTTATTTTTGATTTATTATTTTAGTTTGGTGTAGAGTTTATATGATTGAATTGCAGTACACAGAACGCAGATAAATATAAGTATATAACTTGGACGGGAGTATAGTTTTTTCAAGACTCTACACTTTACAGTCTACTTTCCAGTAACAATGAACTTAACTAATCGAAATGCGTACATTTTAATTAAAAAGATCTCAAAATGTGCAAAAATACAAAAAACAGAAAACTCAGAAAAGTTAAAAAATTATAAAACAATATATGTTTGAAGCTATTGTTATACTTTTAATTTTTGTCAAGTGGTCTTCCTTAGTAATCAACCCCCTTAGTTGTTCTGAAATAATAATACTTCATTTTACCTTCATCCTGGACGATTTTTAACCAATTTTTTCGAGTCCTGTACATTTTACACTGCTACTCTAGTATAAGAGGCTAATTAGAAATAATATATTTTAAAAAAGCCACATAGGTATATTAAATGCCTCAAAGCCTCCTGAAATATTTTTTTGTTTTTGCCGTATACCTACATATTATTATTAAGTTCCACATTTGTTAATGTATTCTCATTTCTCTGCGGTATAATTCATGACGTCTACATTAATAATTGTTTTTATTGCTAATAATGAACCATTTCTCACCATAATTTTTCAAAAGTTATCAAATACTATATCAAATTATAACTATCCAAATAAACACTTGTAATATTATTTAGGACATAAAGTTAAAAAAATAATAATAACTGTAACACGAAGTTTAAATTTAAAAAAAAAACTTTAAAAAAACTTATAGAAACGAACAAAAATTTTTAATACAAACATGAGTTTGTTGGACACAAAAATGAACCATCAAACAGAATAATATAAGTGGAATGAATATAACAATATTGTAATAACTAATAAGACTGTTACAGTTATAAAATCATAATGTGTATTTTATAAAAAAGAAAATGTTATCTTTACTGCTCTCTAAATAGACTAAATTTAAATTATTAATAATTGTTTTGTTAACTTGTTATTATTATTTTGTTATTACTTATAAATATGTACGTTCAAATAAGTAGGTACTTGGAAATAGTTGAAGTCTATTAACATTATTTTAAAAACGTATTAAAGAATAATTAAAAATGTCTTCAATTATTTTTAATATCACATTATGTTGCTGCTATTATACCTATTTATAGCTTTAATAATAATAATCAATAAAATGTTTAAAACATAATAGCAAGCATACAGGTATTTATTTAATAATGAATGTATAAGACATTTAATTTCAATAATTTATATTTTAGTACATATTGGTTGACTGTATAATTTAATTTAAATTAATTTTGTGGTTCTTTCACATTTCATCGTTAGTTATGTAATTAGTTGTTAAATGACCATTTATAATAAATCACAAGTATACTATATTATTATTTATTTTAAATAAACGAGGATAAAAATAAATTGTAGTTATACAACAAAATATTCTTTTTAGCTCATTAAGTAGAAAAACCCCTTCGTGTGTGATAGGTTTCAATTAAATTTGCGATTTCCACTCGAATAGTGGCCCTTGTTAGTATTGTTTTCACAGCCTATTCAGTCCCCTTATTAGAGCTATTATAATAATATAATATAGGGGGATATATTATAATACGTAAATCTGAATATAAACTAAAATACTCTGACCGTGATTAAGTAAAATTTCAAATTAAATGACTTATGTATCTAATTTTAAATGGAAAATCTATTCAAATTAATGGTTCATTATTAAGACACAGTAAAAGTCGCATTTATTTACTGAGTACTTTGCATTAAAATACTGTTTATTTTTATATTTTTACAGCTAGCTATAATATTACATCAATAATAAATTAGTAGGTCCTAATAACTAATTTTTAAAAAGTTGTTTTATAAAATTAAATTAAGGCTAGACAAACATAGGTACCAAACTACCAATGTCCAATATATTATCGTGTCGGAACTTTAAACATTTGGCACGACTTCCCGAAGTATTATTTTTAAGTTTACAATATCATGATTAGATATGTAACCAAACCTCCATCGTACTCCTTAACCCCGGAATTCAAGAATGGAGTGTTTTGGACAAAACATTTTTTACATTTATTTAACTACGTACAATTAATAACATTTAAAACTAAAATTATCTCTAATTGTCCACAAATTATAGATAGCTACAAGTTACAACATAAGTATCAATTGTTCCATTCTAAATCATATTATATTAACAATAACTTCTCTCTTACAATACGTACTCTTGTGGTGTTGTCCAACAGAAGTGCAAGGGCAGGTTTCATTAACTAAAATAATATATCTCAACAGACATACGATATATAGAAATTATAAATATTCCTAGAACTTTTATATTTATATAAATTACATAGATAATGAATAAAATAGTTAAAACTCGTAAAAATTAGCAGAACCATAATGGGTTTAATAAGTTATACAGCTCTATAAAAATCAAGTATCTTAAAATATCTCGTGGTATATTTCAAAACTTCAAACATCAATAATTAATGCGTATAAATGCATAATCAGCATTCAGCATCGAGTGTATGTATACAATTTATGCTCAAAACTCAATGGTAGGGTACCTACGTTTAAACGGTTTAAAGAACATCCAATATTATTTTATATATTATTATGTTGAAAATAAAAATAATCCAAAATTAAACCATTTTCAACTGTTGATTTGTATAACTTACCAAATTAAACAAATTTCATAGAAAACTACACTAAAAACATAACAAAATACAATACTTGTGATTATGAAAAAGTATGTATTTAAATATAAATTTCAAATTAATTACAGGGTCAGATTAGAGTCACGTTTCACATACATTCTCATAATCAAAAAACTTTAACAAAAAATAATTTATAAATTAAATAAGTATCTAAATATAATAAACCCTATTGTTAAATTATTATCCATATTTAGACATCAAACAAATAATCAACGGACTTTGCATACATTCTGAAATGTTACAATTTAGTTAGAAAATTCACAATTTTTGTGCTATTTTCTTTGTCGAGAACTTCTTTTCGATTGTTCGATATGGACAGGTTATTTTGTATATTTTAGTATTTTGGAAAATCTTGAATTATGTGTTGAGTAATTAAGTCGGTTTAAAAATATTAAAGGCGATCAAAAATTACAAAATAAAATATAATAATATCGATTGCCTACAATCATTGATTGATACAATTTGAAAATAATACAATCAAATAATAATCAAATAATCAAATAATCAAAAATAGAAAAAAAAAGATGCATTTATTGGTTATTAAGTGGAAAGTTTAACTCATAATTGGTAGTGCAGGGAGGAGTTGCAAAAAAGGAATTTGTTCTAATAGTACGAGGACCGACATAAAAATTTCCATCGGCTCACTAGTCACTGGATTGAAAGTGTTGATGAGTCAACTATGCTGAATAATAGTTTAGGCAAAAGAAACGAGTTAGCATTTCGTCTATGAATAGTAAGATAAGACTGCAATCCAAGCTACTGAATATTCGAACTACCTACTTTATCATAGCTGTATCTTGTATGGTCTTATATAAATAAATAAATTTAAATATTTATATGTTGTGTGATTTTATTACCCCATAAGAAATCATATTTATGTACCTAAATTTAAGTCAATAATAACCTAAGGGTAAAATTGAATGCCTACCTATTCAAAGTATTAATACCAAAGTGTTAAAAAATAAAATAATAATGGAATAATTGTCTTTAAAAATATTCAAATGTATGAAATAACTAAAACGGAAATGCGAAGTACTCTGGTTTATATCCGAGTTAACCCATTTGGCGGGCTAGAAGTATTTTAAGCCGTATATAAAATATATATTATATGCATACCTATAATATAAATATATATTTAAATACGATTATTTAATTATTTATTGTGAGTATTTCAATATATTATTATTAAGCGTTTATCAAACTAGCACTGTCATTATACGGGGCGCAGGGCACGTGGGTAGGGCGAAGTGCCCAATGGGATTGGCGACCGTGGCTGCGCGCATCCGCCCTCCATCCAAAACCACCCCAAACGGTTGGCCACGCGGGGGGTGATCGGGGGCGCGCACGCCTGCCACCGGTCCCTTCAGCCCGGCAGCGTCGACACACCATGTGTCATTCAGTAGTCGCGAACGTGAGAGAAGGCCCACACCATCGATCACGGTGAAAATTCTCCACTACACATTTAAAATTACGATCACGTAGACGTAGTGATCGTCGTCGTAGTCATTAAAAGTGATAATATACCTACATACAACAATAACAACGGATACCTATATAATATTATACAATATGGATACTACCAAATCGGCCAGGAATGTATACAGCATTGATCAAATTCTAGGAACTACACATCCATCTAAAAACGGTACGACAATAATATTATTTTTAATCGACAACTTATATTTTTTTGGTATCATATGGATTCATTTTAAATTAACTGTGTATCTTCCTTATAATTTATGTTTAAATTGTATACGTAATGTAACTATAGTATAAGTAAATTATATAGTTGAAACCAAAGTGATAGTTGTGGATCGTAATGTTTACTTTTCATCCATAATATTGTGAATTATTAATTTGAGAAACATCGGTTCCATTTCGACGCTCCAAGTAGTGCCATAATAGACAAGTATTTTTAATTTTCAAAAGATGTAAAGTTGAATTATAAACGAAAAGAAAAAAAATATTATAAAAACGTATTTCCTACATTCGCTCAAACTTGAAATGTGTAAAATTGTGTATAAACTAAAATAACAAAACAAAATATAAAATAACCGCCTCGAATTTATTTGAACATGTCCTATACTAGGGGTTCCCAACCTTTTTCATTCTATGCCCCCCCCCCTTGTAAATTTGCTAAAATCTCATTCTCCCCCTTAAATTAGAATTTTGACGATTTTTTTTTCTTGAGCGGTATAAAGAAAACATACAAAATAACTATATTATATTGTATAATATACACCTATTTACTTTTATTATTTTCAACATTTTAAAAAATGTGTTATAAATCAACTTACGAAGTGATAATATTAAAAGTAAGAAAAAAAATATTGAATATAAAAACAAAAATATTAATATAAAGTATAAATAATATCTTGGTCTATCAACTCTATCGTTATATCAGACTCTAAATTCCCCTCCGATTAGGAAACCACTCCCTATACCTAGTATTGTGATAACAACTATTATATTTAAAAAGTAACATAGCTTCTCCTCAGATTCCAGCTGCCAAGCTGGCTATCCCATTTTATTAAGCAAAACATCATTAAATAACATGTGTAATTCGTTAATTTCTTGACTTTTTGTCTTTCATATAAAATATTGAGTGCAAATATAAATACTTTTTGTGATTGATAAAATAGTATATTGACCTACTTAGTCGAGGAATCTCTACATTTTTAAATTAATAAGTCATTAATAAATTTTTTACACAGCGGTGGTTTAGTTTTTGTTCGAATACCATAGACTATTAAAATAGTTTTTTAATTTTATTAACATTTCGGGGTTGCTGCAGCCCCCTCAGCCTCCCCTTGGCTACGCCACTGGAATATAAAAAAGTTGAAAATACTTAAAATTGTAATAAGATGCATTTATGGTATATATTTTCTAAGATTTAATACCATGTATGATACGCAGTTAAATACTGCACCTTTGCCGACTACCTACTGGCTCCTGGGTTTCTTACTCAATATTTTTAAGTATTAATAAATGTATAATATACCTATATTTAAAAATAATCAATGATTGAATATCAATCTGTTTTTCGTAATAACTAATAACCGTCTGAGCAAACAGTTATTATATTATAATTATTATTCAGCTTTAATACTATATTGTTAACAGTGAAAATCCATGATTTTCCGAAGAACACTTCAATTAAATTAAGAACAAACAATTTAATTTTAAATGGATTATAACTATAAAATACTTAATGTCTTGATGATCGTTTTAAAATAATAAATTAAAATACAAGTATGATAGTGCATTATAATATTGGTATTTAATTAATTATACACAGGTAGAGGTACCTATATTAGATATAAATGATAATGTCAATACTAACTAAAATAAAATGGATGTAGATTTTCTTATTTACATCAACAATGCAATACCCTTTTAAATTTCCAATTATAATTAATATGTTTATTACATTATCATATAATTTTTATAATTTTATTTTAAATGTATAATTTACATTTAAATTGTTAAAATTTACAAACAAATAAAAAAAAAGACAGTGAACTCCTCACTTTTTACTTTTTGACCACATACTTACTGACGTTGAGTATCCAGAAAAATACAATATGCGTATGCCTATCTTCCCGGCAATTCAAGCTTTTAGAGTGTTTTAATCGTTTTTTTCTCCATTGTCTCTAATAGTCTTTATAAATTTTGATTCTACAATACCGGTGTGGACTGGCTGCCACGCTAGTAAAAATAAGACGGCGATGAAAAAACTTTTCTTTTTGATCTTTTAGTGATCAATTGTACAATATAATGTGGAAATTTTGTGATACATGTACCCCAGAGAAAATACCGTGAAAATGATAACCGGCTGGGTATTAACGTTTTTAAAAGCGCTAATAAGTTAAAAGTTAAGTCCAAATGGTTTCTCATTATTTCGTAATCGATACTAATTTGTAATAATACTATGCATATAATATGGGTAATTTGTACATTGTAACCTACCTAGTACCTACTAGGTACCATGCATTCTAAAAATTATTGGAATAAATCATAACATACTATTTAAAAAAGTGCCCACTCTTGATGCATAAAAACCTCGCCTGTGTATATATTATGATTTCCACGAAACCGTAACAAAATAAATAAGTAGTAGGTACCTGCAGTAACTGTCAAGTATTACTCAGTATTAGATGATATTTAATTTTAATAACAATAATTTATACATGTATTCAATATTGGTATTATATAACATATTTCTGTTTATGCGCGAAAAACTCGATCGCAGAGGGGGTGGAGGGCCAGCTGAACGAACGATGGCGGGTGGTGAAGGCGACTGGTAGAAAATCCGAAAGGGACGGCGGGAAACTCAATGGATTTGAACGGAAGTCAAGTGGACACACACCGGAGCGCGCGCGCGTATGAATGTGTGCTGTGCACGGCGACTACAACAATGGGTGTAAAACTCACGTAAATTTCGTATCTGTTGCGCGCACATTGAAATTTCGTACTGCAGCCGAGTTCGTACGTTTCGCGTATAAATAATATTAATAATAATAATAATAATAATAATAAAATATTGTACATCGCGTATATTATACATAATATATATCGGTAGGTATACGAAACGTGTACGGGGCAGAGTAGATATTATATATATTGTGTATACATAGGTACACAAGCGATTTGGAAACTGAACGTTTCGTAAGCCGATTACTATTACATATATTACACACACTAGGTGGGGGCGAGGGGTGCATTATACAATCAACGCGCAATAACAAAAACCTCGTAAGCGGCTTATATGACCGTTTTAATACATGATTAATATTATGAACCTATACAACGTGCGTGTACGCGCCGCCGCCACCGTTCCCGACGGGTCTTACAGCCAGTTACTCGTAATTAGGTACCTATACCTGCAGTACGTACATAGCGCTTTAATGGGGCGCATATAGGGTGAAATCATAATAATAACGTAACCGAGAAATAATTGATATAAAAACAATTTTCTCATCCACGTTTCCCGGAAAACGCTAAAAAAATTTCTCTACGCGATATGACGTGTATTTATTATTTACCCATAGTCTAGTTAAATTAGAAAAAAAAGTTTCAAAATAATTTACCTAAAGCTTAATCTTTGTGCAGGTACCTACTCTTTGTTTAAGGGTACCTCACTGCTTTCCATATGATCATACTAAAAGTCATGAAGTCTATACCTCTTGAGCATTATACCCTCCACCCACGTGTATAAGTGGAAATATTTTTTATATCATATTATATTATAATAGATATAAATTAAATACATAGTTATCGTCATGACCAAAATATATTAGTTATAACTTATAATAATTCGTTTTTGAAAAAAAATCATAAGAATAGTGTTTCAAAGAGGGACATTAAAATTATGGAAATTAAGTCAATTGTACAAATAATAGAACGATGAGATCTACCCAGCATCCAAAACAGCAATGAATATTTACTTTTCTTATTTATAAAATTGTACATGAATTGTTTTCAGTAAATCTTTGGTATGATTGTATGTATTTATATTCGATAATTTTCCTTGTGTTTTGCAAGAAACTAATAGTAAGTAAAACGTTGTCCACTATGTCTTACAGCTAGTCCATTTGAACACAGAAATTCAAAAACCTCCTTAAAAAATTGGCCTGAAGAATAATAATATAAATAGGGATGTTCTGTCAGTGTTATACGTGTAGCCATCATAATATTATACAATACTTGTGCCAGCAGTAGTACAACTACATCAAAATACAGTTGAAGAGCGTGCGCGTGGCCGAGGGTCGGATGAGATAATAATAGGCTGACGACATTATATGGTGAAATGTTATTATTATTATTCTCAGCTATAATATTATGTACAGGGTGTACAAAAAAGAATTGTTTCCAATATGATATTCATAAATCACGTTTTTGATTTCCTTTATTTTCTTAAACTGTACATTTTACATTTTTTTTACATTTTAAGTTTAAAACGAAAAAATATAGACATTTGTAAGGGTTGATCTCGAATATAGACTTAAGCATCGACTTTGGAAAAGTGATTTTATATCATATCTGACGCGTAAGATAATTACTAAAAAGTAAAACTAATGAATAACAGTGATATAAAATGTACACTTGTTACACTACGTCACTTACGCACTTACATGCTGTGTGATGTTAATAACGTATTCCTATATGCAACACCAATGATGAATGAATTTGAACTTCCAATCCTTATAAACAACATAATATTATATTCAAAAAGCATAATGTAATCATTTAAATTTTGTTAAAAAGTTTAAATTGATCATCAAATTAACATAATCTCTGAACTTCAAAATGTAGAACAAATATTATGTTACAGTCCTATTTGTGGCGAAATTCTACCATACAATTATGAATTGTACGATTTTTACAAATTTGACACCATAAAGCACTATTATAATTTATAATAATGCAGACATTGTTTAAATATTTATCGTGAATTCACAAAATTATTTGGCTTTGAAATGTTAACTTAATACTTATAACCAAAACTTGTTTAGTTGTATACAAAACGTTTGTTTTGAGTAAAAATAAATATGCTCATTAAACGAAGTAGATACTCAGTACGAATATTATATGGCCATATACGTTGGACCATCCTTATTTCCACCCTGTACACGAGTTAAGTAGGTACTTGACAACGACAACGTTTCTCTCTCCAGTTGTTTTAACGCCCTTTATTTCCGTCACCAAACACCACCGTAAAAATGCATTTAAATTTGTATTGTTTTATCTCGTTCATATAACGACCTACGAATTTCGAACACCCTTTTTAAAATAAATAATCGTTTTATAAGCTTTGTGTACATCAAATTAACGTTAATCAAACATGTCGGCAAATGGTGACCAGTGACCACAGTCTGTTTATGAGTTTATTCTTATATTAGGTACATATAAATAATTTATCATTTTATTCACAAACAATTGTACAAACTGTAACTGCGAATAATTACCGCTGTCGCAATGGTTTATGTTTTTTAGATCTTAAGCGAACAGAGAAACATATTTATTTTACAATATGTCTTATTTAGTATCGCTTTTAGAACGATACTTAACCTATCCAAGAACTAAATTAAATATTCACACTCCCTAGATAAAATTGTATCAGTGGTATAACATTAAATGGGTTATTTATAAAAATTTCTTATAGGTGGATACCATAGTTTTTCTGCACAAAGGTGATAATATGGTAAACCCCCAAAATTAGTAGTAATATGTGTCATTAAAAAATAAACTATGGGTTTTCGTAGTAATTTATAATAATAATCGAAGGGGGATAAGACGAAATTAGATATTAATAAAAGTTATAGTTTTGAAAATTCAGACATCAGACTGAAACCACAGTATGTAACTAAAGTATGTTTAATATTTATGTATTATGGAATCAACATTTAGGTTAAGGTACGGGTTTAAGACACTTAGCCCATGTATACAGTTTATTTTTATTTTTTTAGTAATAATTTAAATTATTTTTATTTTTTATACATTCACAGCACAATCAATAATAATTATTTGACATTTTTTTTTTAGAAAATACTAGTGTTCATTGCCAATCGAAATTGGATGCATTATATGCTGCTAGTGGGACCGATCCATCGCTACATCGGTCCGACGAACACGATGACGATAAACCGCGAAAAGTTCGCCGTAGTAGAACAACATTCACCACATATCAATTACATCAATTAGAAAGAGCTTTTGAAAAAACTCAATACCCTGATGTATTTACCAGAGAAGAACTCGCCTTACGATTGGATCTCAGTGAAGCCAGAGTGCAGGTAAAATGTTCATGCTATTCAAATTAAAAATGTTTGATTTAATTACGAATAAACGTGAACTTACCTACAATTAAAAACGAATAAACAAACGAAACTAACAAAGCGATCAGTTATAATAATATCATTTAAAACAGATTTTACTTTCAAATATTTTTTTTGTGGAACTTGTATATAAATTAAAGTCGATTGTTTGGGTCACATGGATAAATTTGTATACCGTTATCAATCATAATGCATGCATTATTCTTCCATTTAAATTTTAAAGATAACATAAATTGTTTTTAACGGTACAATGGCTAAAGATATAATTTATATATAGGTATAGTGTGATTATAATTATTTGTCTTTTACGGTCATCCTTGTAGAGATTCCGTTTCGGGTCTTAATTGTGTATGGTTGCTCGTACGACTATATTATATCCTTTTGTTCCGGAATCGTACGCGGAGCAGCTTAATTGAAATCCACCACATCGACGACGCGAGACTTAAATAATTCCAACAGCAGTGGAAAACAATGGAAGGAGATTAATAGATTTTTTTTTCTTTCGAGTTTACAGCCACACTAAAACACCGCGCTAATTGTGTACCGCAGAACACTTAGCGGACACACAAAGACGGTAAAAAAAAAAGAGAAAGAGGCTACAAAATCTCTACATTATATATACGTGTAAATCTCTCTCTCTCCCCTCCGTAAGTTACTCTCTCACTCACTCTCTCCCCTTTGCTCTTTCTCTATTGCCTAGGCCTTCACCGCCTGCACCGTAGATTGTCTCGCTCTTTAAACGATTCAATAAACCAATTGAGATGGACTTAAAACCCGGCGCGCGCGGTCTCCCTGGTAATGAATTACAAGTTAATTGGGGTGCAATTTCTCGACAACCGATTTAACATCTCCCTAATTTCCTAACGATCATTTAAGTGCATTGTTCGTGTGGCCTATGTGCATAGGGGGAGTCCCATTGTATTGCACAACACACCCTTGTACGCGCACGACGCGCACAATCAACCCCAATCGGACGTCCAAATAGAGCATTAACCCTCCTCCTCCTACACCACCGCCGACGACGCCGCCAGATCGCCCTACAATGGCCTTCGGGTGCCGAAACTTCCACCGGTTTATTAAACTCCCGTTTTAAGTGTATTGTCAATATTTTAACCTGGCCAATAAAAAAGGGATTTTTCCATCCCTCCCTCCCTCCCACCATATTCATCAATATACATACATATATATATGATGAACATACCCTTTTACTTTTAGTTTCCAAGCACACGCCGTTAAGCCAAACTAAATTAATTATATAATACTTGATAAACAATCTCCAATGGCCGGAGTCGTTTCTCACAGTATATACCTACGGTATTTGGTAGGTTGGTAGGAGGGTGTAAACGATATCTGAAACATAATCGTCCGTAATTGGAGAGAGGAACAATAATGTCATATTTTTTGCAGTTGATATACATAATAATATAATAGGTATACATATATACCTAATGCATACAATATACATTATGTAATGTTATGTTGTTAATTAATAATGTTCATGATAATTATTTTGATTTTTCAATATTACTTTTTAATTTAATATTTTGTATGTTTTCGTATTGCAAATAATTAGATGGGCATATGATAATAAATAATCATAACACATTTCCACTAAAAGTGTACCTTGCCGTTTATCGCTTCGCTTAAAATCTAAAGTATGATAAAATAGTAAAACAATAATAGTGTAAGATACACAGTAATAAATACAATAAACCTACATTAAATAAACCGATAAAGTGATAGGTGGATATGGGTTTATAATAAGTTTTTCTTTTTTTTTTTTTATTGTAGAATAAACTTTTTACAAAATGTTATTAAATTTTGAATAATATTTTTAAATATAAGAGATTCTAAAAAAACTAAACTGCATAAAAGTTTATGTAATATATTAGAATAAAAATAGTTTTGATGGAAACAGATTGTTAGAGGAAAATGGAAGGGTTCAATTTTGATCTTTGGACTTCGGTTGAGATATGGGTACCGGCCTAGTTATGTTAAATTATTTATATGCTCTGTTATTAGTAAATATTTTTACCATGTTGTATGGGTTGAAAAATATAATTTCCCGTATTACGGTTAAATAGTAATTTCCTATTCATCTTAATAATCAGCATTATTATTACAAATATTATATCATACTCATACAATATATCAGTGTGCAATTTAATATTTTTAATGAAATTTCCATCGAACATTATAACACTGAGATCATATTATATTTATATTATCGACTCTTAATTTAAAATAAGGATTCCTCTTTTTCCGAAAAAAATGTTCAGTCACAGTAAATACGTGATAGTACTGAATAAATTTGTAATTTTAATACTCAACTATAGAATCAAGTAGTAAAATGTATACGTGCCATACATATTATAATAATGATGTCTTTTTTGTACATAGGTATGGTTTCAAAACCGTAGAGCTAAATGGAGAAAACGAGAAAAATCAATGGGCAGAGAATCCAATCCATACATACCTGACCACACATGTGAGTAACATTCAACTATTTTTATAAAAATATGTAAACATTTTATATAGTTACCTAATTTATAAATTACACTAAACGTATCTCATCAAAATATTTAAAACTTTAAGTAGGAAATGTGTTTTCCATGTTTATTTTTTAATTGTGTTTGTGTAACACTCATTTAAAATAAATACAAAAAAAATAGTAAAAATAATAATACTTTTGTGATTTTACTTCACAATTATTATTATCTTAAAATTAAAATTCGATGTATATTGTATTAAGTTTAATATAATACTCAAGAATAATAATTTCATGATAGATCTTTTCTAGTTTATAAATCAGCTATAAACTATCATATCAAAAAATAATATAAACTGCTATCAACAATGCTTTTACTTTTAACTCCATAAATTAAAACCTAGACCCGATTTTCTACCAGAATCAACACTCACGCGTTGAAGATCAAAATATTTAAAATATTATAAAAATGTTTTCAGAGACAAAAAAAAATTAAAAAGCGCATCATTGTAAAACTAATACATGTATCGCTCCGCTTAGAATCTAAAACTTGGTAATCAGAGTAAAATATTTCTATTACAATTTATACAATTAACGCTTTATATAACCTATTTATTATTTGTAAGTAAGTTGTAACGAGACAAAGGTACAACATGCATGGTAAAAAAATTAACATTATAACGTTTGCAATATAAAATGTGAGCTTGAACCAACAGCTATAATACCTAAAATGACCATATTAAAAATAATTTATAGAATAAATGTATATATTATTATAACATATTATAATAATATGAATCTTGATGTTGGATAATTTAAAAATATGTCAAACATTTTAATAAAATATGTATTAGGAAGGTTAGGGTGAATATGAGGTGAATAATCATTACCAAGCATCATGAGTCCATAATAATAATAATAGTAATAATAATAATAATAAAATCAACAAGTCGGTCACCATGAACACTCGTTGGCATATAGAGGATAACGTAGCATGATCACCTCAATGTCTTCTAAAGCCTCTACAAAATGCCTTCCACGTACTTACACTTATTTACTTGCATGTATCCATATTATCCATAACGTATGGTAAATAATATGTAGTACAGACAATTATCATCATATATATTAAATACCCTATGTTTTTAATTTTAATTTTAAAAAGTAGTTTAATATAAATGTATACAAAACTAATTTCTTTTAAAGACAATGCATTTTACTATTAATTCATCGTTAAACTTAAAAAACAAAAATATAATTAGATATAATATCGTACATATTATTTACAGCAAAACATCCAAATATATTTAGCTTGAGACAGTGGAACCAATTGAAAGCCTCCCCTGATAAGCTTCCCAAAACAGCAGAGCTCCACCGCTTTCCATTGGTGTATAATCGAGGGTGGGAAAATTGACGCGTTTTCTTTTAGTACTAGCGATATATGGAAAACAATGAACCTTAATATTCAATGTTAAAATCGGCATACTTGAAGGACGGTGGATTACATTTTTCTAATCCTCCAATATTTTTTTACATAAATCATTATAACTGGCATGACCTTTGTGAATTTTATATTTTAATTGAATGATTTATTTATGAATTTATTTAACAAATTTTCAAAAAAAAATGTATAGGGAATGTTATAAATATTTTTAAAAGTTTAAAAAACTTATGGAAATAAAGTGTTTAGAAACCCACTGCAGAATTCGAGCAGCTGAACTATGACTTACCTAGTCGTAGGTGTCGACTATTCTTAGTCATCAAGTATTAATGTACCTTTATAAAATAATTAAAGTTATAATATCATATAATCAACTATAATACTAACTAATAAGTCAATCCTGACTTACCTACAGTAGAGCGGAGAACCAAAATATTTGTTTTAAATTGTACATTTACAGTTTAGGTACCATGTCTAAAAAATAATAATATAAATGATATTTGATGAAAATTGCATATACCTATCTATGGTTTTTTTGTAAAATTACAATAAAATAACAAAATAGATTTTGTCAAGTATATTGATGTTGCATAAATATTCCAGTTTTTCCATAATTTTTTTTTCCCGATTATTATAAAGAAAGTAGGTACACATTGGCGTAGGTAAGGGGGGGGGTGTTCAAACACCCCCCGAAATTAAATAAAACAATCTTGAGCTTTTTGTGAATTTGTTCGAGAATATTATTAACTCGCATATTATTTAGGATTTAGACAAAAACCCCCTCCGAAAATATTTCTTACCTACGCCCATGTAGGTACATACTGGAAATTTTATCTTTTGAAAACTACTGATTATTCGAGTAGAATTATTTGAGGTATATAATGTCTCACGTAAATGTTAAATGTTCGTATTCCGTATTTCTATGTATACCTGTACTGCTAATTGTTAAACTTAATGTTTTTAATTATTGTTGTATTGAAATATAATATGATGTACCTAATTACTGGTCATCTCATCTTATGTTTTAATATAAATTAGTAAAATATAATACTATTATCATTTACAGTGTTCAGAAACGACTGTTTGCCCGTGGCACCCTCGCTAGGTGGCCCGCTGCCGTTCCTCACGCCCGAACAGTTCTGGCCGAGCATCGTGTTCAACCCGGCTGCCGCATCCGCGTTCCTGCTCGGCCTGCCGTGGCACCACCATCACGCCGCCCAGCCGTCGGCCACCGCAGCGGCCGCGTCGTATCAGTCGTCCGTACACAAGGCGCTGTCCGAGCGGATCATCACCGCCAACCAGTGGCCGGCTGCCGCGCTACAGACGTCGTCCTCCGAACCGCACAGCCCGTCGTCCGCGGGATCGTCCAGCCCCGTCACGGCGCTGTCGCCACCCCACGAGCCGTCGGTGGACGCGGCCACAGTCGCCGCCGCCGAAAGTCGATCGCCCTACCTGAACGATAACGATGACGATGATGACGACGACGACAACGACAACGACAACGACGAATCCGGCAGGTGTTCGCCGTCCGTTTTGATGGGAAACGTTTCCTGTTAGTATGCGCTGCCGAGGCGGTATATTCTACACATATATTACCTGCAATTAGGAACCGACCGCTTTATATAGTTATTATTTCTCTTCGGCCACCCCCTACCACCCCCTGATCTTCAAGACCATCTTCCCCTAATTTGACGTATTTGATTGGTATTATTGTTTTTTTTTTTTATACGACGTGATTTTTTATTCATACCTAAGATTTATATAATATATAATTGTCGATTAGAGATTAAATAAAAGAAAAAGTATAAAAAATAATTTTACTTAGGTTATTTTGTAAATGCCTTATACCGATCTTACCATTATATTCTGTATGATAATAACAGTAGGTACATTTTTGCAAACATTTACTTATTTTTTACCATTTTTTATGGCAACAAACTATACAACAACATTACAACCAATACGTTTCTGGGAACATAGGCTACCTACTCACAGAACCCGATTATTGAACTGTAAATTGTAATATTATGTACTAGGTATATAGTATTATTATATTATTATATGCAAATAATGTACAGATAATCATACTATTTATAATTGATGCCTTAAAACTCGAATGCATGGTGTAAGTACTTATCTATTAGCCTAAGGCCTACTGATAGGTTGACCATACCCACTTTAGTTCACGTGATTTCTTTAAAGTTTATAAAAAATCTAGATTTTTTTTAATTTCGGAGTCTCCACCTCTCCCTGAGCCAGTCTATACACTGTCGATTTTTAATTCTATTCAGGAGGCCTGTTTCCATGATAAAAAATCAAGTGAACTAAAATGGGTAAGGTCAAACCATCAATAGCTCCCTGTCTATATGTAGCTCGTCATTATATCGAACGATATTGGTTCAGTATTAATAAACATCAAATTGTCGAAATTTTCAAAAAAATATTAAGCTTCAATAAAATTATAAGGTCGTATCTAGTACCTATATGGCTATATGCACCTAGCCTCGACACTCATTAGTTACTGGTTAGTGGTTATTACTCGTTACCTATCCAAAGTATTGTCCTTTCATAAAATCTATATAGGTACAATTATTGCAACAATTTAATTGTTAATGGTCAGTCTGCAGTCTATTGAGTAGTATGTATACGGAAAATAAGTATTCTATAACATTATTCTGGTATACATATTGATACCTAATCGACTATAATTAACAATACTATTGTTATAATTATATAGCTGTATAGCATTAAGTATTGATCACTTATATATAAATATAAATGTATCGTCCATCATCCTCTTGACTTTTGCCTTCGACCGTCAGTCATCGTCATTATAATAATAATATTATATAATACCTATGTAACATATAATATGTATGTAAACATATTTCATTCGATCATTTCGCGAAACGCGAACTAATTTCAACTTTAACTAAGCGGGTTGTAGGTAGTTAGGTAGGTACTCGATCATTTTATAATTGAGTTTGTAAACTAATAATATAAACAATATACTTGTAATAAAATGTTAATCGTTTACCACACTCTGTAGTCTGTATGTAATATATACGATAAATATGTATATTATGTATGTGTATTATATAATGTGTATCGTAATATTTCTCGCGATTTTAATTTAGTATAATATTCACAGAATTTTTATATTAAAAGTTATTGGTTTTGTTCGCAATTAGGTATATGGTAGACTGTTATACACTCGTAACCGAGCAACAGACAACACCGTACCGCGAATAGCCCGGTATTATAGCTATAGATACCTCGTGCGTTTATTGGGAAGTGCAATTTTAAATATTAAACACTTTAGTTACAATAGCCCATTTACTTAGGAGTTAAATGTAAATATGTTTCGTAAAATTGTATTATGTAGCTGTACAGTATATCTAACAATATTATAATTTATACCGTTAAGATGCGTGAAGGGTTTCTATAAAATTGTTTACTGAAACCATTAACCGTAATTTTACTGATGTAGGTACATATTTAATAGAGATAGAAAATATTATGCATAACGACGATCAATCCTCTCCAAAATACGTTTTAAGCAATATTTTTTATTTCTCTTTTGCACACGTAAAAGTTGGCAATTTTCTAAATGTAACCATTTTTTTTTTCATCAATTAAGTATACTTATTACAGACACTCAACCCTTCAGGCAAATACTCGCTTTAGCAAACTACAAATAAAATCTTCAACCTGGTTGAACTACCCGTCCACTCATTTTACATATATAAATATTACATTTCTTAAGTACGCATACCTGCCCCGGTAATGTTTAAATATTAAGAAAAAAATAGAATAAAATTACCAGACTATTATTTTGTTAACAATAAATTAGGTACTAAAGAATTCTTTTTTTTTTCATTTATATAATTATAATTTACAATTAAAAGTGTAATATTGTTGACTGCTCAATAAAATCAAAATCAAAAAATGTCATATAAGATTACGTGTGTACTAACCATTTTATTGTTTTAAAATATAATATATGTTATAATTACCAATAATAATATAATAATATTACTCATGATTAAAAACCGGAAACACAATTCATTCAATAACAGTAATGTGAAATAAAGTAATGAAATGTAATAACGGCATTTAAAAAAAGAATTACGTGGTATTGAAATTATTTATAGTAGGTACCTACCTAGTCTTAATTTAATTTTGAATACATTATTTTTTTTTTTTTTTTGTTGAATCGTATTTTGTTGTGTTACGCAATACTTACCCACTGTTGAAACATATAAAATACTATTATTTTTTTTGATTTTTTCTAAAAACAACTGTAATATGTGTATATTATAATATCTACCTGAATATTGTTTTTGTATATAATAATATATTATATAAGAATATAATTGTATTGTATGCAAATATGTTGTACCTACTCGTAGCCAAAGACTTGATGGATGGGTATTGTTTGCGTTATCAGTTTAGTAACATATATATTTGAATCGATGTAAAAATACTAAATAGTAATCGACAAAAAAATTTAGATTTCCTTAATTGACCTAAATGTAATTTAAAAAATATAAAAAACTCAGTTTCACATTTTTTTATGTCAATAATAAGTGTGAGTTTACGTAAACTGTTTCAAAAACATCCACCAAATAAAGAACTATTTTTAAACCATTGGAAAATGGGCGGATACCTCTTGCCATAGGCGTAGGTAGGAGGGGGGGGGTGTTCAAACACCCTCCGAAATTAAATAAAACAATCTTGAGCTTTTTGTGAATTTGTTCGAGAATATTATTAACTCGCATATTATTTGGGATTTAGACAAAAACCCCCTCCGAAAATATTTCCTACCTACGCCCATGCCTCTTGCTGCCCCTGAAATTCAAAGTCCGCGGGCGCCTGTGCAGGTTTCAAGTATCATAAAATTATGCCTTTCAAATATCAAATTACAAAATTCAAACATTCTAGATTATTTATATATTTTTAGCGAAAACAACTGAGGGGTTTGGCTTCCCCGTCAGCTTTGCAGAAACAGTATTTTTTCAGTATCATAATAGAGTTTTGATACCCGGCTAAATGGTATAGATTCAAGAGGAATTATAATATGCTTAATATGCTGCATAGTTGGTAATTATAATTGAATTATAATCGTGTAACTGGGTAAGTTTAATTTAGTAGTGTCTAAGTATGTCTTGGGTATAATAGAGTCAAAAAAAATATAAGTATAAATGTGCCAGCTTACAGAAATTATTGTGGTACCAAGTGTTGCCTAAACCGTACAAACACTGCAGAAACCTAAAAATAATCGTTATAATCGTGTAAAAATATTTGGTGATTTAAAATGTAGACTTCGTTGATCTAAATTATGTCTCAATGTGATGTAATTCCGATAACTGATGGATATATCATTTTAAGAACATTCGTAGGTTTTATTCATCACACTTAGAATATATGATATTATATTGGCATATTATTTAGTATGGCACTTTCGTATAACATGTAGGGGTGCACTAAAGATTTTACAAAATCCACATTTTAAAGATAGTCTCACACAGGGATTTTGTTTCGAAAAATGGAAATCGAATGTTTATATATATATATATATATCCTATATATATATAGGATGCAACGGAAAGATATGATAAATTAAATAACTTGTGCTCTTATCATATGCAAGCATATTAATTATTAGTACATTTAGTAAGTGTATAATACTCTAATTCCCACAAATTATTGCTTTATTAATTTTAATAGTTTAATCATAATACAGTTGGTATTTAAATTATATCACTTTATTACCAATATCTGTGGGTCATCCATTATTTTATAATCTATGCTTGGCATCCGTGGCGGTAACAAACAAATAGTACTAAACTGTGAACCCCTGGCACTGACAATATTTGGATTCCCACCCATCGACCGTCAGTGTTCATTTACATGAGTCCGATACTCCGATTAGAAAGGTTATAAATTGTAATCGACTGTAGTTGGATAACGACACGCACTAAATATCCGGTACGTGGTTGACTCTACGCGTTCGTTTTTTCGAATGTAAATGTATAGCACAGCAGAAGTACAATATTAATTATAACAATACAACATCGTTATTTCAGCTCACTATCTCACTGTAATATTAATAGTATTATTTTAAGGTACATACCTATATTATAATAACCTAATCATAATACATTGACTATAGTATATAGCTATATTGGAAGTAATACAAGCTCGATTGCCAATATTTTTGTCTATTAAGATCGGAACCACCGTGATTTAATACCGTAAGTACCTATACACATTATACACCCATTTTTGAAGCTACAAGGAACATTGTATTACATTTCAAGTTTTTCGGCTCGGTGAAAAATTCGAAATTTGAGTTTGTTATTAACTTGTTTCGGATAATTTCTTTTTGTTATTCTAGATTATTTGATAAGTAAGTACTGTACGTTTTTGATTTTTATCTACCAAAAGCATAGGCGAATCTAGGAATTCATAGCAGGGTGTGCCTTTACCTCAAAAAGGCCCTCTGTAGTTCAAAATACCTCTCAGTTATCACACGTTTAAAATATGTTTCCCATTTGAAATCACAATATTAATAATATTAAATAATATTAAGATGAATTTTTATTACCTAGTTTAGATGCTATTTTTCGTGCTGTAAAATATACAT